GCAGGAGAATTGCCTGAACCCAGGAGGCGGAGGTTGAGGTGAGCCGAGATCGTGCCATTGCACTCCAGCCGGGTAACAAGAGCAAAACTCCGTCTCAAAAAAAAAAAAAAAAAAAAAAATTTAGCATAGGAATTTTGGGACACAAACATTCAGTTTACAGCATTGTTGACTTCAGTTTTATTTATTCCAACATTACTTATATTAGCGAAATTTTGGAAGAATGCTGAATTTCTGTAGTAAGAGAGTTGATAGGTAAATTTATAAAATGCTTTTAAAGATTACTGACATGGATATTGTGTTGGTCAGTTTTGTTTGTCAGTTTGGCTAAGCTACAGTCCTGGTTATTCAGTCAGACACTCACCTTGTCATTGCTGTCAAGGTATTTTGTGGATATGATAAAAATTAATAATTGGTTGACTTTAAGTAAGGGTGATTGTCCTAGGTGGTCTGAGTGAGCCTGATCTATCAGCTGAAAGCCTGAAGAGCACAGCAGAGCTCCCCTGAAGTAGAAGAAATTTCTCCGATGGACAGCAGCAGAACTCAATTTCTGGAGAGTTCCACATTGGCCTGCCATGTGGATTTCAGACTGGCCTAGCCAGCCCCCACAATCATGTAAGCCAATTTCTTGTAGTAACTCTCTTAATAAATCTTTTCCCTTGGTATCTGCAGGGGATTGGTTCCAGGACCCTTGTAGATACCAAAATTCATGGATGCTTAGGTCTCTTATATAAAACAGTATATTTGTGTATGACCTATGCACATTCTCCCATATACTTTATTTTTTATTTTATTATTATTACTATTTTTTTCTAGAAGGATGGGATTTCACTATGTTGGCCAGATGGTCTTGATCGCCTGACATTGTGATCCGCCCACCTTGGCCTCCCAAAGTGCTGGGATTACAGGCATGAGCCACTGCACCCAGCCCTCCCATATACTTTAAATCATCTCTAGGTTACTTATAATCCCTAATACAATGTAAATGCTATGTAAATAGTAGTTATGCTGTATTATTTAGGGAATAATAACAAGATGTTTGTATATGTTCAGTACAGACAAAACCATTAAAAAAATTTTTTTTTGGATATATGTGTATATATATATATATATATTTTTTTTTTT